TCAGAGATATTGTGGCAAGAGGAGAAGTTGAGATCACCAAGATTGCATCAGAAGACTATCTAGCTGATCCTTTTACGAAGAGTTTGCCTGAGAAGTTCTTCGCCAAACACGTAGAGGGAATGGGAGTCAAATGTATGGTGATAGGATCGACATAGGTCTTTTAGGATACAGATTGATAGGACTATACTAGTAAAGCGATAACTTTAAGTATAAGTGGGAGATTGTTGGTGTTATATACTTAAGCTTGTTTTAGTGGATATTACACTTGTTATTTCTTGATGAATGAGAATTATGTTTGGTTAAATAAGTTCCACGTTATGTTGTTTTGCATGTAGATAAGTGGGTCATCATCGGGCGTACCGAAGATCACTATATCAGTTACTTGCGACACAAGAATCATTGTTTCACAACCTAGATGGAATTGAACAACCCATCGGAACGATTGTAGTGTCAACCGTACGGTTTGTCTTGACCGATTAGTTGCACTAGTACATTTATGTATTGGACAGGATCCCAGAGAGGGATGTTCGTTTTATGCTGATCGTCGTAAACGAACTAGGCCTCAGTTAATTATTAAGTGCTCTTAACCCGTAAAATATTAAATAGGCATGTGCACATAATTGTTGTTGCTTTGATTTTTTGGGTGAGATCCAAGCCGGGTCGATATACTTAATGAATTGGGTAATGACATTATGCGTTCGATGTGCTATTAGGATATTTACGATCACCATGTGCGTTAGTCTGATGATGTCCCCGAAGTGAGTTCATGAAGGAATATTATGCTAAACCCTGCAGGTGGATTTATTCCGGCATAATATGAATGCTATGAGCGAGCGCTAGCTTCGGTAATATAATATAATAATTAATTCTTGATTATTAGTGATCGAATTAATTAATGGACATTATATCTTAAACATGGGGAGGTAAATCGGATAATAAGGAGTCTCAAATGTAATTTGGGTAGGTGAGGGGAGTGCAATATTATTATTGTGGTGGACTTTAATATTATTAATATATTAATTGTGGGGTTGCT